TTGCGTATTTACTTAGACGTTTTGTATATGTGTAGTGATATAGCCTCTACAGGCGTGACTGGCAATCTACTCAAAAGGTTAGCCGACTTTCCCTTAGGCAAGCGTCAGCGTGTCTGTATAAGGGACGCCAGATCGGAGTGGAAACCGTCCACAGTGGGGTTCCACAGAGGAGAGGGCTGGGTACTATTCTGTTTCTGATATATATGAACGACTGCCTCGATTGCCTCACCTGTAAAATTAAAGTTCGCCGATGATCTGGGATTATGGAATTAAATCGAAAGTTTGGAGGATGTGCAGAGCTTACAAAATAACCTGGATCGCTTGCAAAAGACGATTCGATTTGAACATGAGCACTACATCGGACGTCAGAAATTACAGCTAATTAATAGCCAAAGAGATCAAGGTGTGTCTGACGCCCACGCTCAAACCCTCAAACCACTGTGCCATAATCGCGCACACTTGCTCGTCAGGTAAGTGCGAATAGATAGAAAAAAAACTTTCAGATGAGTAAAGGCCAGTCCAAAATTCAGGTATGATAAACAAAAATATTAAATTATATTCAGGGCTCAAACCGACAGATATAGCTAGGCAAGCACGTAGAAGCAAATCGGGAAATCATGATAAACCATAGTTCCACTTTTATTTCACTGGTCAAATGATATTTTGCACGCATACAGATATTAACGGAATCAACTTCAGTAGCTGATTTGAGGAGTTCAAGATATATTTGTGATATCGACTAAAACACTTAGGAACGTACGAATTTGTTTAAACGTTTTGAAGATAAGGTCAATTTAGGTCTGCCCCTGTGTATTTCTCCCATCTTGTGTAATTATGTCTGGCCGAGGAAAAGGCGGCAAAGGTCTTGGTAAGGGAGGAGCCAAGCGGCATCGGAAGGTTTTGCGTGATAACATCCAAGGAATCACTAAACCAGCAATCAGGCGTCTTGCTCGTCGAGGAGGCGTTAAGCGTATATCAGGTCTTATATACGAAGAAACGCGCGGAGTTCTGAAAGTATTCCTGGAGAATGTTATCCGTGATGCCGTAACGTATACTGAACATGCTAAGAGAAAGACTGTTACGGCTATGGATGTGGTTTACGCTCTGAAGCGCCAAGGGCGTACCCTTTACGGTTTCGGTGGCTAGTTGCCCTTAACTCCTCGGTGGCTTTGCATTTAGTTTTTTGTATGTTCCTTGCCAAGGCTCATTATAATTTTTCTTTTAATTCTTAAATAAATAATTCATTAAGACTTGTCTGATCTAGTTAACCCATTAAGCCTGCTTTAGTGACTAGACAGGTAGTTACGGTATTAGCCAGCTGGGATTGTCGTTTTGAAGCATCCTCTGACTTGTGCTTATACAAGGGACTTGTATTTCTGAATATTATACTGCAACAAAACATTTCATTGATGAAAACAAATCCAATAATACTCCGACATAGCAGTTCAGCCGACTAAATTTGCTCATAGGCCCATGTCTGAAACGTTGGCAGATTTTGCCGCCCATTACCTGTGTCCTCGAGACTGAAATAGCTTTATTGCTTGTATTGTGTTCGCAAAGGCCTTGCTCTAAATCACGTTGGGTCCGCAGGTTCTGGTTCGAGCGGATTGATGGGTTGCACCTCAAGGTACGGCTGACGTACACCGAATCGATGGTAGACTTACCTACTTGCGTATAGGTTCAGGCGAGCAAAAGAATACTACTACTTTAATCTAAGGTGAATATTTGGGAATATTGCTTTCCGGTTACCAGCTTTGCTTGATATGTAATGGTCCTACTCGGCGTTGGTTCCTAGATTCTTCTGGGTCTCGATGATTATCTGCAGATCTTCATAATTGTCGGGTCGGTTTCACACAACAGTAAAACTCTTCGAATGAGGCATCCTATGGTGACTGGTTGTCTCGCTATGAGCACATTTGTATCTTCTTGGTAAGCTTTTTGAGTAGAAAACTAGTCGCGAATATTGACTTCCTCGTGAGTACAGGGTTTTAAGTTTTGGATGTTTTCTCATTTAGGGTAATATTTTCAGATTCCAAGTCTGACAACGAGTATTTCCCACGCTAAGTTGCGGCCGTTTACACCGCTGAGGTTTACAAACTTTCTCCTTCCCCCTATTATCAAGGGACGGACTACAAATAGACAATAAAGCATGGTAGCGCCGCTATATAGAGGTATGCTGCGTAGGGTT